GTGTGGCCTCAGCCGGGCGCGCCTCAGCACGTATCAGTGGGTCACCCCTGGCAAATATTTGAGCAGAGACTAGGTCTGAGGTCGTGTGGGATCCTGGGGCTGGAGGCCGCCCTTTCCTCACAGTGTTTGGTTTCTGTGCGGTGCCTCCCACAGCATACCTTCACAGCCATCTCCCCCCACAGGTAGCCAGGGTTAGCCGTGTCCCCCTGCCACCCCCAGGCTCAGGCTGGTCCACGTGGTGGGTCCAGCCCACCCAGCCGTGGGTACCTCTAGAGTCGGCTCTTGCTCTTTCTGGTTTCCCAGCTCATTTTCTGTGCTCTCTGCTTCCAGGGAGATGTGTCTCCAGCCTCCCCCAGCGTGCACACTGCGGGGCCTCGCGAGAGGCTGTCTTTAGTTCCCCCAGAAATTGCCATGGAGTCTCTCCGCCCTCAGCAGCAGAGCTAGCCTGGTGTTTCCGAGGACCTTAGGAGACGGAGAACTCACCTGAGGGCTAGCCTTTTGGAATTTCTGTACGGTTCACACCATCCCAGCTTGAAGATTTTTAGGATGGTCCTAATGTCTTTTGGGCCGTGCTGCGTGGAGCTGTGTTTGCCGCAGCTCTCTGGAGCAGGATCTTGTCAGGCAGAACACAGAGACTTCAGTTTGTGATGCCAGTGGGGAAGAGAGATTTGTGCCTGCACTGTTCTCCCTGAGGTCCTCGACTGGCTCGATGGCCCGGGGATATTTATGTGTAGGCAGCTGTCCTTCTCTAGCTTCGCTGGGTCGAGAAAGGCTTCTGGGAAGGAGGAAGAAGAAGAAGGCAGCCAGGGGAGGAAGCGGAAGCCGTTGCCGGTTTGGGAAGTGACCCAGGCTGAGCACTTTGGACTAGATTCCTCAGGTGCAGTGGGAGCCACCGGGAGCTGGTGCATCCTCCGAGAATGTAAGATGTTCTTTTATCTCTGGGACTAGGCGCTGCTGCCTGCCTTCCCACAGCAGGTCTGTGTGTATCTGGGGGCCTTTGCCCCTCGTATGCCATCCTGCTCGTCTCCCGCTGAGACAGCCAGCGGAGTCCCAAGGCAGCCCATCCCCAGCTGGGCACCTTGTCCCTGTCCTTCCTCAATCCCCGGACAGAGCTGCCATCCTGTGCTCGCAGTTTCGTTGGCTTGGGGCAGGGGAGGGTTTGTAATGAGCAGCCCTGTTCTTCTGGGGAGGGGTAATTCCCTATGTGTCTGAGAGAGAGGGCAGACAGATGTGCAGATAGGGCAGTGGAGTGTGGGAGACTTAAATGTGAGGAACTGAGGCAGGACTCCAGGGCTGTGTTCTTGTCCCCGCGCCTGAAGGATCCTGGGAAAGGCTCTTCTGTGGAACCGTCTATTATGTGGGGAATATGCATCCTGGAGAGGGAGAAGCCATCCTCATCACTGTTAATAAGTAGTCCCAGGAAAATACGGAACCACCCCCAGGGCTCTCCAGGCCTGGGAGATCCAGCCCGGGACTTGAGAGTTTCCAGCTCTGGGCTCTTGGGCAGCACCTAGGATGGAGAGGCCCTGCCTTCCTCAGGCATTCCCCCACCCCAGCCCCCTCAGGAATGTGCCACTTTTATCTTGTACTTTGCTTCTACGCAGAAGCATGGAATTCTGAGGCTGAGAGGGACATTGGGAGTTGGGCTGGACTGGGGGGTGTGGAGGAAATTGGGGAGTAGTATTTCTTTAAAGCACATGTAGCCTTCCTCATCCTTGCCACTACCTGAACTGGGTTCTTGATCTGCTCATGGTCTTACGGATTATGGTAAACTAGCTCATCTCCAGGGCCTCGGAAGAGGACTGATGTTTAAAATGAAGTGGAAAGCACGGCAGGCAGCGCAGCTCCCGGCCTCCTGCCCCCATCCTGGGGTGAGCCCTGCACTTCACGAGCGCCGGGTGCAGCCCACACTCATGAACAGGCATCTGTGCTTGGAGAGGGTGAGCATCAGGCTCCAGCCAGAACTGAGGGCAAACACTTCACCTTGGCCAGCCGACCTCTGGACAGCCTCTGAACAGGAGGTGAGACCCAGCGAGCAGGAGACTGGAACTCAGGGACGCAGAAGTGAGTCACTCGTCCAGAACTGTGTGGTCCAGGACTGAAGGTTACCTTTTGACTTTCCACTGCCCTTAGGCAGGACACTTCACCAAACGCAGACAATTTTACCATCTCCGAGGGAGATCACCTCGGCCATTAACAGAAGAGCTGCCTGTAGCATCCAGCAACTCTGAATTCTGGAGTTTCCCAACCTCACAATGTCTCAGCCAAAAACTAAGGCCCACGATTTTACAGACAAGGAGACTGAGGGCCAGAGAGGGCATATGACTTGCCTCCTGGCTCCTAATTTAAGTTTTTCATAATGCGGGCCCTGTGGTGTAACACCTGTTTGGTCCTTTAGAGAAGGAGCAAATGGCCCACTTCTCTCCAAAACGGGGCCCAGTGTGTGGTGTGCTGAGGACTGTTATTTATTTGGCCTGCTGGTAATGACAGCTCAGTCACCTACTTGCCCCAATCTGAGGAGGAGCCCTGGGCTGGAATTTCCTGTTTTCTGAGGGCTCCGGGGGCTGCCCCAGCAGGCTGACTCCCCTGCCGCCGGCTGCCGCCGTTCCAGGGTGTTCCAGGCCGGGCTTTGCCGCCTCTCCTTGCTGGGCCGGCTCCGGGCCTCTCCAGGTCTGGGCTTGCCGGCTGCGAGGTGGAAGCGCTGAGGGACTCCGTCGGCCCGACACCAGGTGCCCAGAGGCCGGAGGTCCGTGCGCCCCGGCCGCGGCCCCGGCCCGGGCCCAGCCCCGCGCCCCTCGCCATGGGCCTGGCCCTCGCCCGCGGGCCCTGAGCATGGAGCGGGGCTGGCCGCCGGGGGACAGCTGCAGCCGGGAGCGGCCCGCCGTCTGCCGCCGCGCCCTCAGCGTCTGCGACTCGCTGGACCTGCACGGCGCCCCGACGGGCCGCGCCGCCGCCGCCCTGCAGGCCGCCCTGAGCGCCGCGCGCGAACAGCCGGCGCGGCCGCGGAGCGTGTGCTCGGGCGGCCCGGGGCCCCCGCCCTCCGGCGCCCGCAGCCTGCTGCTCGGCCTCCTGCGCCCGCGCCTCGGCCGCCGTGGCCCCGCCGACGGCCACTCGCCGGCTCCCGGGCCCGCGCCCTCGCGGCTCCCCGGCTCGGCCGCGCCCAGTCCCGCGCCCAGCCCAGCGCCGGCCCGGCGCAGCCGCACGCGGGGCGCCCAGACGCCACGGCCGCGGCCCACCAGCATGACGTTCCTGGAGGTGAACCGCCTGGAGCTGGCGGCGGCCGAGGGCGCGGGCGCGGGGCTGGGCCGCGCGGGGAGCGCGGGCTTCTTGCGGGGCGCCTCGCTGTGGAGCAGCCAGCGCTGGCAGGTGCTCCGCGGCGGCGGCAGCGGGCGCAGCACCCCGGGCCCCCGGCGCGGCCTGTCCGCGCTGAGGAAGAGCTTCAGCTTCCGCCTGCGCCGCGGCCAGGAGATCCGGCGCGCAGAGTCGGGGCTCCTGCCCCGGGCGCGCACCCGCAGCGACGGCGACGCCAGCTCCCTGGGCGCCTTCCCTAGCCGCCGCGACCTGCTGCTGGGCGCCGAGGCCCCGCGCGCTGCGCCCGAGCCCTGCCGGCCCCGCACCGCCGCCGGCCTCTGGAGACTGCTCACCAGCCGCTTCCGCCGGAGGGAGCCCGCGCCCGCGGAGCCGCTGTGGAGCCGCCGGGCGGCCGCGGCCCCCGGGCTCCTGGGCGCGCAGAGCGGTAAGGGAGAGAGCCTGGCCCGGGAGTCCTCTCTGGTTGGAGTCCCTTGTTGAGAGCGGGTGTGAAAACAAACCGAGCTTGCCTGGGAGAGGTGGGTGTGCCGCGAGGGCCGGGGACCAAGTGAGACCGGGGCCCCGGCGCGCTCTGCGTGGCTCATGGGTCCCAGAAGGTGGCTGTGGCAGAGGAGGACTTGCAGGTGCGTCCAGTCTGGGTCCCCTGCCACCGGGCGCTACCACTGGCCCTTGGCATGGTGGAATGTGAGACCAGGACGGAGGGGCTCCTTCCTCACTTTCTGGCACACGCAGAACTGAGGCTGGGGAGGGGCGGAGAGTGCTCATGTTTCTAGCTTCCAGGTGGGCTTGAGTCCTCACCTCTAGCTGCCTCTGCACATGAGCAGAGGGACTGTTTATGGACCCGATCGATCAATGGTGGTAGCTACTCTTTGAGACAGCCTGTGGGAGGGGAAGTGGGCAAAGAGGCTGGCCCAGGCCAGGGCCATCTGGAGCTGGCTGGAGGATGTCCATTACAATGCAAAGAGTAAAGAAAGTGGGTCTGGCCGTGGGGCTGGAGGAGGCTCTGGGGAGCTGCAGGCTTCCCTTCCCCAGGACACTGCCAAAGGCAGGCCAGACCTGAGAACTGCCTGGACCAGAGTTCTCGCAGCCCAGGAGGCGGCTCTCTGGTAAAGAAAGAGTGGTGGCCTCCTACCAAGGAGGAGCTTGAGGAGGAGGGCCAGTTGGGCAGGATAGATAGCTCCCCATTCAACCTGCCCCTCACAGAACAAGGCCCCCGGTGAGGGCTCCTCCCTCTTCACCCCGCCTAGGAATGTGGTGGGTGGCCCCACCCTGTGAGGGTGAGCTGTTCCTACTCGCTGGCTGTGGGAGGCTGGCCCCCTTGCCCAGCTGCCAGGTGCCCGGCCCAGCTTGGGTCTGAGCTTAGAACTACTGGAGAAGCCTCTCACCTGGGCCCTGGTGGGAACTGCTTACCTTGCTGGAGCAGTAAGAGGAGGAGGGACATGGGTCCAGGCCAGGAGAACTGGGCCCACACCTCTCAGAGTCCTCTCCCTGAGGACCATCATTGCTCCAGTCCTCTCCGGAAGCATTTTCCTGCCACTCTCTAGAGAATTAGGGGTGAGGGTTGGGGTCCCATCAGGACCGTGCTGTTTTCTGGCCTTGGCTCAGCAAGGGGCAGTGTAGGAGACAGCTGGTGGTGGATGGCACAGCTGTGCGTGCCCCCTCGGTCTGATGGGTGGCCTTCTCTCCTGCAGACTCCTTTGTGAACAGCCAGGAGTGGACCCTGAGCCGCTCGGTTCCGGAGCTTAAAGTGGTGAGTGAGATCTGGTGGGGGGGCGCCCAGGCAGCCCTGGGGCGGGGTGGGCGCAGGCTAGCGCGACAGGCTTCCCCCGCTTCCAGTCCTCTCCTTCTCTGGTCTTGGCCTCTCTCCGCGGCCCCTCGCTTCTGTCCGGCTTTCTTTTCTGGTCCTTGGCTCTGGTCCTCCTTTAGGTCATCCGTCTTTCCTGCCCCTGACCACTGCTCTCACCCCTTCCTCTCCCACAGGGCATTGTGGGGAACCTGTCTAGCGGGAAGTCGGCCCTGGTGCACCGCTATCTGACAGGAACCTATGTCCAGGAGGAGTCCCCTGAAGGTGAGCATCACGGGCTTGCCTGGGCTCTGAGGCTGGCCACTCTGCCCCTCTCTCTCCTGGCTGTCGACTGTGCTGGGGGGCTGGAGCTCCTTGTCCTTCCAAGTCCTGCTGTCTTCTCTGTTGGTAGCGCTGGATTTCAGAACTGCTTGGCCCCCGGGGGCTCTCCCAGCTTGGGGCCTGATCGTGCACTCTGTCCTAGGGGGTCGGTTTAAGAAGGAGATTGTGGTGGATGGCCAAAGTTACCTGCTTCTGATCCGAGATGAAGGAGGCCCCCCCGAGCTCCAGGTGATGCTCCTGCCCCAGCCCTGGCCCGTGGCACCCCTTTCCCAAGGATCTGGTTGGGACGGGGCAAAGCTATGTGTGTGCAGAGGGGTGTGGAGCTGGCCCGGGAACGGGTGCGGGTGGTAATTCTGCTCGGTCCCCCTAGTTTGCTGCCTGGGTGGACGCGGTGGTGTTCGTGTTCAGCCTGGAGGATGAAATCAGTTTCCAGACGGTGTACAACTACTTTCTGCGGCTCTGCAGCTTCCGTAATGCCAGCGAGGTGCCCATGGTGTTGGTGGGCACACAGGGTGAGCGGGCCCGCGGGGCCGGGGAGGAAGCCACCTGCTCTCCCCTCTCCCCCTTCCCGTGTCACCCTGGAGCGGGCACCACCTCCTTGCTCCATACGCGCTGGATCTTCCCCAGCTGGAGCCTCCCACCGGTGTGACGGGCGTGTCCACGTTTTGGGGGATGGATAAATGGAGCGGCTGGCTTGAGTCCACTCTGAGTCGGTGGCGGAGCTGGAACGAGGCCTGGACGCCCGTATGCTTGAGCTCTGCGTTGTCCACTGGCCCGGCTCATGGCCCACGCGCCCCCGGGCCCAACACCCCCCCCCCCCCCCCCGTCCCCCGTGCGTGGCACCGCTTCTCAGCAGGCTGAGTAAAGTCCCACCCTCCCGCCCCCCACAGATGCCATCAGTGCCGCAAACCCACGGGTCATCGACGACAGCAGGGCCCGCAAGCTCTCCACAGACTTGAAGCGCTGCACCTATTATGAGACGTGCGCGACCTACGGGCTCAACGTGGAGCGCGTCTTCCAGGACGGTAACTCGGGCGCGGGGCGGGAGGCTCTCCCCTTTTCCAGGCCAGTAACTCGGGCGCGGGGTGGCGCCTCCCGAACGGGGGCTCAGGAGGCTCTGTGGCCATCAGGGCTGTGCGCCCTGGGGGGCGGCTCTAAGCTGGGCTTCTCCCTTCTCCCCAGAGGGGTAACTGACTCTGCTGTCCCCTGCAGTGGCCCAGAAGGTAGTGGCCTTGCGGAAGAAGCAGCAGCTGGCCATCGGGCCCTGCAAGTCACTGCCCAACTCCCCCAGCCACTCGGCAGTGTCCGCCGCCTCCATCCCGGCCGTGCACATCAACCAGGTGCGGCCAGCCTCCCCGCCCCCTGTGCGTGTCCCCACCTCGGCCCTCCTCATCCTGTCTGTCTGCCTGCGTGTCCCCCCCCCCCCCCCCCGACCCCGTCTGGTCTCCCGCCTTGTGACTAGTGTGAAAGTGCTGGCTTGCGCTCCCCGTTGCCTGCACGACTGGCCTGGCCTCCTCTGTGCCCCACAGTGACCGCCTCCCTGCTCATCCCCGTCCCCACTGCTGCCCCTCTCGCCCCACAGTCGGGGTGGCGGAGGCAGCCCGGGGGTTGGCTTGGGGCGGCGCTCTTGCAGCTGGCTCGGGAGCTGCTCCCCGTGGAGCCATACTCGGGGGCCTGCTCCCTCCTCACCTGTGGGCCCTGCAGTTAGAAGGGCAGCACGGGCCCCACAGGGGCCGCCGGCCTTTGTGCCGCGTGGGGTGTTAGCGGTGTTCTGAGCCGGGTCCTGCCGCCGTTCCTCCCGTGACACCACCGGGATGCCTGCCCGCTTGCTGCCTACTCCCTGGTTAGTTTCGGGTCCTCTGTTTGGGCTGGCGCTTCCTTCTGTGACTCTTTCCCCACTCCGTCCCCTGCTCTGCAGAAAGCCCCGGGTCGGCACACATGCGCTGGGTTGAGTGGTCAAGCTGACCGTCTCCGCTCTACTTCTGCCAAGGGCTTTAGTCTTGAAGGCCCGCCTGGTCCCCCAGCTTTCTGATGGTGGCCTGGTTGCTTTTCCAGAGCCCCTCCTTTAGTGCTTCAGGGGACAGCAGGCGTTTCCCTGGGAGCATCCCCGCCTGGAACGGAGGAAGAGCGTTAGGTCTTTCTGCCTTAGCCCTGAGGCACTGCGCGTCAGCTGGCGGAGGTCAGGGGGTGGACGTCCCAGCTCGGTGTGCGGGCCCCGCCACGTGGCTCTGAGGCCAAACGACAGCCGTTGGGGCATTTTGCTCTTTTTGTGCAGGTGAGGATTCGAGGAGGCTGTCAGGGCAGGACGTGTTCTCTGCTTAGTGAACGTCTTATGGGCAGTTAGGGAGCAGGCCTCGCTGTGCTGTGCGTGTTTCCCGAGTCCTGGAGTAGCCGGTGCTGCCGTGCGCTCTTTGTCTCCCATCCTGTGCTCCCTCCCTCCCGTCTCTCTTCCCTTCCCACCTCTGTCCCTTATCTGCTGCTTCCTCTGAGAACAGTCTTTGCTCCATGCCGCTCTCGGCCTCGGCTGTCCCGTAACCCTGCCCCTGTCACGCACATTGTCCGGAAGCGGACCTCAGCCTCCCTGGGCTCCCTGCGCCCCACCCTGGCCTCCCGCATCTTTGACACATGTCACTGACTTGGGGGCTTGTCCGAGGTGACCTGCTCCCTCGTGCCCGACGCCCCTGTGAGGCAGGGCTCCCCCGGCCTCTAGCACTTACCCTGACCCGATTCGCCAGGGCCCTAGTGGGGCAGCCCAGGGCGGTGGTGGCTGGCTCCCGCCAGCCTCCAGGCCCTGCCACTTTCCTCCTCTGCTGCCCCATGAGCCCCAGGCCAGGTCCCGCCACCGCAGGGCTTCCCAGCTCCCACCTGCTGCCCGCCCCTGCGCCCCGCTCCAGAGCAGCCCTCAGCAGCCCTCTCTGTCCTTAGGCCACGAATGGCGGCAGCAGCGCCTTCAGCGACTACTCCTCCTCAGTCCCCTCCACCCCCAGCGTCAGCCAGCGGGAGCTGCGCATCGAGACCGTGGCGGCCTCCTCCACCCCCACACCTGTCCGCAAGCAGTCCAAGCGGCGCTCCAACATCTTCACGGTATGTGCCCTGTGCGCCGCCCTCGCGCCGCCCGGCTGCCGGCACTGGCGAGGCAGGGCCCAGCCCCCAGCCCGGGGCGGGGGGCGGGGCGGGCAAGAGCCACAGACACTGGGCCACGGGCAGCCCGAGGCAGGAAGATGCCATCCACACAGACACACACTGCTTCTGTAGGCTCCTTCCCGGTGCCCTCCTGCACATCCAGACTCTTCTAGACGGTTTCTCTGAGCCCTCAAGGGGCTGCTCGCAGCACCCTTACACAGACCCTCCTGCCTCGGCCGCATACACTTCCGCCTCTCTCTCTGACCCATAGGGCTTCTTGGCCAGCTTGAGGGCTCTTTGGACACGTCTGCTCTAACACCCCTCACGCCCTCGATTCCACAGTTGTGGATCAAGCCCCCACGGTTTTTTGCCCAAGGCTACATGAAGGGTGAGCTGGCGGAGCCAGAACCAGGGCTCAGGCCTCCTTGTCCGCATGCTGCTCTTTTCCCCTGACCTTACGCTTCCCACCCACCGCTGCAGGTGGTCCACCAAGGGCTTAGACGTCTTTCCCCGGGTCTCGGCTCCTGAGGCCTAGCCTGTGCCTCACCACCCAGCCTCGGGCCCCGTACAGGCTCGTCCTCTCCCCTCCTCACAGACCTCACCCCGGGGACCCCCGTGCCTTCAGCTAGGGGCCCAGGTCCTCGGCCCTTAGGCGCCCCCAGTCAGCTGGCTGGCCACGCCCAGCATGTGAGACACGGTGCCCGCCCACACTCTCACCCTCCAGCTGGGACGTGGCTGGGCCCTTCTGGGAGTCTCGGGTCAGACACAGGTGGGTGAGCTGCCTGTGTGGATTCGCAGGAGGTCCCTCGGTGCTCTCGCGTCAGTCCGTGCGCCTCTTTCTGAGCAGCAGGGCTTGGCTCTGAGCCTGGTCCTCTGTCCAGCGGGCCGGGCAGGCCCTGCCAGGCTCTCAGGAGACCCCACCCCCACCCCCAGACAGAGCCAGTGCCCCCGGGCCTCGTTCATTCATTCTCGCCTCCGCCTGCCCAGCGCCTCGCTGCCTGGTCTGCCCACCTCCGTCCCCCCTGTGCCTGCCACACGGCCCCTCCTCGTCCCTGCTGACAGCCGCTGCCGCGCATTGCACTGCCCCAGCCCCGAGCCTGCCTAGACTTGAAGCGTCTTGTTTCTGTTCGTGCCCATCGAGCCGCACACCGCCCTGGGCTGCCTGCTTGTGCCCGCGCCCGCTGCCGCAGAGCCCCCCCCCCCCCGGTGCCTGTATGTAGCGACCGCTGTCCGCACTCCTGGCACCCACTCCCCCCACCCCATCCCAAACCTCCCACTTCCTCTGCTGCTAGGCCTGCTGTCCTCCCTCTGCCGCCCTATGTCCGCTGCCCATGCCCGGCTCATGGCCTCCTCGCCGCGGCCCCCCGTGCTCCCGGCCCTGTGCTCCCTGCTGCCCGCTCTGCTGTGCTCCCTCCGCCTGTCAGCCTCCCCCAGGCCCTTCCACTCTCTCATTCTCACTGTGGCGACCTTACTTTTTCTTTTCATTGTTTCCATGGTGACCTCCCTTGCGCCATTGTCCGTGAGGAGGCCTCGAGACCTGTCCGTTCCTAGGCGTGCGTCTCGGGACCTCCCCCGCTCTCATCGTCGCTGCTGGGGCCACCGCCTCGCCCTCATCGCCCTCCCCAGCAGAGCCATGCCTGCTCCGTGGCCGGTGTCCTTGTGACCCACCCCCTGGATGTGGCCGTCGATGTCCCCAGTCTGCCCTGTGACCTCATGTCCTCGTTTTGTTGCCGCTCTTGCCCTGCTCCCCGTCCTGGGGGGCTGCCCCTCTGGGCTCCCAGGGAATCCTCTGGTGGCTGGGGGCCTCTTGGCTCACCAGCCTGGCCGGGGCAGGCTGTGCCCCACTCCCCCCAACCAGCTCTCTTTGGTCCGGGGACCTGGTGGCAGCAGAGGCCCATCCACCTTCCTCCTCCTTGGGCCGAAGGGGCAGAGGCTGTGGCGCCCAGGAGGGGCCTGGGGCAGGTGCTGACCCTGGAGCTGTGGGCAGTGGCCTCTGGCCCGGTTCTTCCTACTCCCGTGGTTGTGCGCCCCCCGCCTGCACCTGCAGGCCTGTGCCCCGGGCTCCTGGCGACCTGGGAGGACAGGAAGGGATGGGGGCCCCGGCCGCCCAGCGGCGAACGTTCCCTGATGAGCTGGACTGCCCAGCGGCCCCTGCCGCCTCCTCGTCCTCCTCCTCGTCATCCTCGTGCTCCTCCCCGTCCTCCTCCTGGTCATCCTCGTCCTCCTCCCCGTCCTCCTCCGTGTCCTCCTCCCCGTCCTCCTCCGTGTCCTCCTCCCCGTCCTCCTCCTCCTCCTCCCCCCGTCCGCCTCCTCGTCCTCCTCCTTGTCCGCCGCCGCCTCCTCCTCCTCGTCCTCCTCCCCGTCCTCCTCTCCGTCCTCCTCCTTGTCCTCCTCCTCATCCTCCCTGTCCTCCTCCTCGTCCTCCTCCTCGTCCTCCTCCCCGTCCTCATCCTCCTCCCTGTCCTTCTCCTCATCCTCCTCACCATCCTCCTCCCCATCCTCCTCCTCGTCCTCCTCCTCGTCCTCCTCCTCGTCCTCCTCCTCGTCCTCCTCCCCGTCCTCATCCTCCTCCCTGTCCCCATCCTCATCCTCCTCTCCGTCCTCCTCTGCGTCCTCCTCCCCGTCCTCATCCTCGTCCTCCTCCTCGTCCTCCTCCCCGTCCTCTACGTCCTCCTCCTCCTCGTCCTCCTCCTCGTCCTCCTCCTCGTCCTCCTCCTCGTCCTCCTCCCCGTCCTCATCCTCCTCCCTGTCCCCATCCTCATCCTCCTCTCCGTCCTCCTCTGCGTCCTCCTCCCCGTCCTCATCCTCGTCCTCCTCCTCGTCCTCCTCCCCGTCCTCTACGTCCTCCCCGTCCTCCTCCCCGTCCTCTACGTCCTCCTCGTCCTCCTCTCCGTCCTCCTCATCCTCCTCCCCATCCTCTCCGTCCTCCCCGTCCTCCTCCCCGTCCTCTTCCCCGTCCTCCTCCTCGTCCTCCGCGTCCTCCTCGTCCTCCTCCCCGTCCTCTCCGTCCTCCCCGTCCTCCTCCCCGTCCTCCTCATCCTCGTCGTCCTCTCCGTCCTCCCCGTTCTCCTCTCCGTCCTCCTCATCCTCTCCATCCTCTTCCCCGTCCTCCCCGTCCTCCTCGTCCTCTTCGTCCTCCTTCTCGTCCTCCTCGTCCTCCTCTCCGTCCTCCCCCCGTCCTCCCTGTCCTCCTCTCCGTCCTCCCTGTCCTCCTCTCCGTCGTCCTCCTCATCCTCCCCCCGTCCTCCTCTCCGTCCTCCCTCCGTCCTCCCTGTCCTCCTCTCTGTCCTCCTCCTCGTCCTCTCCGTCCTCCCCCCGTCCTCCTCTCCGTCCTCCCCCCGTCCTCCTCTCCGTCCTCCCTGTCCTCCTCTCCGTCGTCCTCCTCGTCCTCCCCCTGTCCTCCCCGTCCTCCTCGTCCTCCTCTCCGTTCTCCTCCCCGTCCTCCTCTCCGTCCTCCCCGTCCTCCCCGTCCTCCTCCTCTTCATCCCGCTGCCGCCTCTCCCCAGGCACCCGGGTCTCTGCCCTCACCAGTGCTGACCAACTCGTGCGGGGCTTGAGTATAACTTGCCAAAATCTTTATTCTTTCGATATTTGCAGATATGTGCCACTGTTTCCAACTTTTCATCAACAAAAAGGCCTTTCCAACTCCTTCCAAATTAGAAGACCAGGTGGTGACACACAGCACCTCTGGACATTCTCCCCTGTTCGGGGCCGGAGGCGGGCCGGGCCCTGGGACTGCTCTCAGATGAGAAGCGGCCGCCGTGCTCCCCACTCCAGAGACCCACAGGAACCTTTGTAACTAACCCCCACCCCCAGGGAAGGCTAGGAACGCTGGAGCCCGCGGCTGGGGGCTGCCGGGGGACCAGGCCCGGCTGGACGCGCTGCGCCAGGCTCACTGCACCAAGAAGAAGGGAGCTCGGCCCCACGCCCGGCGCCGGGCCAGCGCGACATGGGCCCAGAGGGGCGGGGGCGTGCAAGCGCTCGAGGGTCCGAGCGCCCGCCCGGCCCAGCTGCTCCTGGGGGGAGCTTTCCCGCCCCTCCCCCCCTCCGCTCCTTCCTGCATGGACTTCTGCCGTTCCTGCTCCGCTCCGGATGCCACCGCCACCGCTGCGCGCTTGCCTTTCCCCCTCTTGGCCTCCCCATTTCCTAGGATCCGCATTGGGGCGGGCTCTGCCCCAGGAGCCTGGCAGGGGCGCAGGGCCTCTTCTGGCCTCTCTCCTCTCTCTCTCCATCCACTGTGCCCCTCGGGCCTCGCCGACCGTGCTCGGTGCGACGTGCCGTTTGGTGTCTGTGCCGCAGACGGGCCACTGCCCGCTCACTTCTGGACTTTGCTGTCCCCCGGTTATCGTGCCCCGTGCTCCCCGCCATCCCTCAGCCCCACCGTCCACCTCTCCTCGCCCCCTCCCTTCTTGTAGGCCCCAGCCCCTGGGCTGCGCGCTCCTCGCGCCCTCGGTATGTTCCGTGTCCTTGCTCTTCTGTAAGGGGCGGGCCTGGCTCAGTGAACTTTGCTGCTCTGTACGGTGCCGTGTGTAAGAATAAACCCATTGGAATACTCGTGGTCTCCGTTCCTTCCCGGTCCCGCCGCCCCGGCCCTGCCCCACTGCTAGGGCCTGCCCAGGAGGAGGGTGGAGGGGAGGGCAGGGGAATCCAGGTGGGCTGCTGTCCCCCCGTGGGCCCTGCGCCCTTTCAACACGCTTCTTCTTTTCTCTTTCAGTCTCGAAAGGGCGCCGACTTGGACAGAGAGAAGAAGGCTGCCGACTGCAAGGTGGACAGCATCGGGAGCGGCCGGGCCATCCCCATCAAACAGGTCAGCACTCCTTTCCCCCGTGGCCCGAGAGCGGTGGGGATGAGGGATGAGGCCCAGGGAACACCGTAGGTGGTCCTTTCCTTCCGGCCCCCTAGCTCCCGCCGGGCCTGAATGCTTCACCCGACAGAGGTTCTCCTGCTAAGGACAGACCTCCAGGAAGCCTGCCCCCCCCCCCCCCCCGCGGTCTGAGCGGGCCCTCCGCGGGCCCTGCCCATTCCTGCTCGCCGCCACCGGGGGGCAGCAGAGAGCCGCCGGCCCCGCTCAGCCGCTCTCCCGCGGTGCTTCAGGAGTTGGGCAGCCGGCCTACCTGTCTCACTCCCAGAAAGGAACTCCCAGAAGAGGACCTTGCGGGGCACGCACTGAGGGGCACGCTGAGGGCTGCTCCTGCCCAGGGCTCATTGGTGCAGTTTTCTCCGTGGGAGCCTCTGTTCCCTGGAAAAGCTGAGTTGAGCTGCCCCCCATCCTGGGCACCTCCTTGCCCAGTCTGCCTGGCAGGGCTGGGCCTCCGGAAGCTTGGAGCTTCCCAGACCCTCTGGGTGGGTCCTTGTACTGGGAAAAGACCTTGAACGCGGCAGGGCGTCCTTGTGCAGGAACGGTGGTGTGTTGGGCAGCTGTAGGGCTGCTGAGCCGGACAGGTGGAGCCGGGAGGTGTCTGTGGAGCTCAGGCAGAAGCCTGCTGGCTGATACGCCCATGAGGACGCGGCAGGGGCTTGGTGGTCAGGACCCTGGGCCCAGCCCAGATATTCGCAGGAGGTGGTGGTTAGACATGGCATGTCTATAGGGACTGTGTTGTCTGTCAGCTTTTGACTACAGAGGAGACTCGGGTGGCCAGGTCACTGGAGCTCGGCCAGGCCAGGGCCCCGTGGTCAGGGTTTGGCCCTCCAGGCTGGGCCTTCTGGGGCCCGTGGGCAGCCTGACAGAATTCCTGTGTTAAAGTGGGATTCTGACACCGCAGGGAAGGTCTATGTAGAAAGGAGAGCCCGGAAAGGGTGTCGGGGTCCCAGAGGGCAGGTGGGGAGCCATCTGTTGCTCCCGGTCCTGTTTCTTTGTTTCGGCCCTCCGCTGCAATGTCATCCCACGGGGCCTGGCAGAGGCGGCTCTAGCAGGATCACCTCCGGGGAGGCCAGGGGCAGCGGCCAGTCTCCTCGTCTGGCTGTGTGTCTGGGTGCAGAATCAGAGCCCATGCACCTTTTGATGGTGTGATTGCACGTCTCTGGGGCGGTGCAAACTGAGCGCCTCCCTGGGGGCCGCTCACCAGGCAAGGCGGATGTGCCCTACAGAGGCCCGTCACTCTCTGCTTTGGGGGCAGGTACTTTCTGAGCCTGATGCACACACATAAACATTTAATACATAAAAGAACGCTTTCTCCAGGGCCTTTACTTTGAGATAAGGATAGCCCCAAACGCCTCCTTCCTGTTTGGGGTACAGGCTAATTTGTCACTTCCCTGAATCCCCCACGTGGAGGGGAGGGAGAGCTGGAGGATGGGGCTGGAGCCCTGCGAGCTTGCACCTGGGGCTCTGGTCCAGCCCCGGGTCAGCCGGGTCACCTGGCTGGTACAGGCCGCTAAACCTCAGGGACCCCCTGTAGGAGCGGCCCTGCCAGGAAGGAACCTGAGCGAGCTCTTGTGCCACAGCGGGGTCCTGCAGGGCACTCGGGGGGTACTTGCATGGAGGTGGGGGCCGTCCACGCTCTAGTTTTCCCAGCCCCGTGGCCCTGCCTGGCGCTTTCCCCCAACCTCCAGCTGCCCAGGGCCGGTGTGGCCCCTTTCCTTCCCGCCCTCATGTCCTGGTCTCCCCATCCCCTTCCTTCTCTTCCCCCCCCCCCACTCCTGCTGGGAGTGGAGATTGCATTTCAGTTGCCATTTGCATTCCCAATCAATCCGGACTCCGCAATTAAGCCGGCTGGCGGAGCTGGGAGGGAGGCGGCGGCAGAACGGGTCCTCTGGGGGCTGTCGCCTCCGCACCGCTCCCATTCCGCCCCAGATTGCTTCCTGCTCCGCTGGGCGCAGCCGGGCTGGCCAGGGAGGGGAGCAGGAACCCCTGTAGCTCGTCTCCCTCCTCGGAGGGCAGGATGCGAGGGAACGGGAGGAGCCTGGTAGGCAGGCCTCTCACCAGCCTGGCCTTTCCTGCTGGGCTCGTGTCCGGGCGCGGGCGGGCAGGTGAGAGGCAGGCCGGGGGCGCGAGTGGGCGGCAGGCAGGTCGAGTCCCTGGCCAGCCATGCTCGCTTTCCTCCTTCCAGTCCTCCCACACCCCTGCTGACGGCGCGCTCGCTCACTCGCGAGCTCATTAGTGCCAGGCCGTGGCTCCCCTGCTTCCTCCAGGCCCGAGGCCCAAGTGAAGGAGGGGCCCAAGGGCTGGGCAGGAGAGGGTTCCCTCCGAGGCCGGCCCCCTGGGCCTCCTGATCCTGATTCCCTGCTTGGAAGAGGGAGGAATGCCCGCATGTGAGTCCGCTCTCCCTACCTGGCCGGGAAAGTGAGGCCCGGGCAGGTAACCGGACTTGTTTGATGTTGAGGGCTAGTTGGTGGCAGATGTGGGAGCAGAGCTGGGCTTCCCTTTCCCATGACCCGGAGCTGGATCTGGACCCGGGAGGGAAGGGCTCCAACGTGAGGAAGATGAACGGGCCGGCGAGGGAGAGCAGGGCTCCGGTGGGAAGGATTTGAGACCAGAGGCTAGTGTGGAATCCCCCCCGAAGGCCGGGGGGTGCGGAAGACGGGGGAGAGAGGAGCAGGTGAGCTGGCCGCAGCAGCCATCTTCCCAGCCCTTCCGGAGGGCGCAGGCTGAGACTGGGGACTGCCTTCTCCAGAATCTGGCTGTTGGTCCTGAGGGGTGTTGTCTGCAGTCAGGGGAGAGGGAGCAGCTGAACTCTTGCCTTGTTCCTGGCCTGGGAGCGGGTGGATACCATGCCCGGAAGCAGGTCACTGAGGCTCATTTGCAGACCACAGGGCAGGGCTCTGCCTTCTGGAATGTTCCACACGGTCTAGTGACGGTCCCGTTAATACCCCTTGTCTTCAGATGCCGCTTGTGAGGCTGGGTCTCTCATGCTGATGGGGACCAGGCCGTAGACTGTGTCCTTAAGTGACCCGGGACTCCTAACTCGATCTCATGTGGCCGCACCTCCCACGGCGGCATCTGTCTTTTGGGGGCGGCGGGATGAGGGAGCTAGGGAAAGGAAGGAGTGGTAGTAAGGATGCTAAACGTCTGTTGAAAGGTGGGAGACTCTCAGCTCTGTCTTGGTTCCTTCGGGGCAGATCGGGCAGGAGGTCCCAACAGCCTGTTGGCTTACCTCCTCCCTTTAGGGACTGAGCCTTCTCCTCGGAAAAACTTAGAGAGGAAGTGAGAGAGAATCGGGGTTTACCCTGCACCCTTGGGCCCCAGGACCCTAGCTGATGCTGTTTCTTCACACTTGAGTCTCTTTACCCCTGTTTTCCTCCTGGTCTTAGGGCAGGGCCTCCATTCCTCAAGGAGGAGCTGCTACAAAGCCACATCTTCGAGTTCCCTCTTTTTGGTCCCCACTGGGGTGGACTCCAGGGGCTTCCTCTGCTCTCTGCTAGCCTCTGCTGGTCCTGACTCCTCCCCGCTTGAGCTCCTCCTGTGTGGCTCTCCGCTCGGAGGAGTTTTGTCTGGGAATCTCCAGCAAATCCTGCTTCTACTCAGCCCTCCTGCATTTGGGGCAGGGGGGCTTCTGGGGGTGATGCTGGCCCTGAGAAGCTGCCATAGAGACCCGTTCATGGCACTCGGTCCTCTCCCTGACCCCAGCTCCTATCCTCAGCCATGGTCCTGTGCTGTCTGTCGTTTCGGGGAGAGAGCCAGAGGTGGGCGAGGGCGTCTTTGGTGGTATCCGTAGAGGAAGGCGAAGGCCACCCTTGGGTCTTCCCTGTGGCCTTCCTCTCTCAGCCCACGGCCCCTTTCAGCATCTTTGACGGCCCCCGTCAGCTGGCTTCTTCCAGCGCACCCACCAGACGTTTGCGGGGCATCTGCTGTGTCCCAGGCATGGTCACGGTGTTGAGGGTGTGTCCCTGAACAGAACACACGGACAGCCTTGCTCTCGCGGAGCTCGTGTTCATGCCTCCGCTCCTCTCCCCTCCACGCTGCATATCTCATAGGCTTGCACAGAGAATCTGGTTGCTGAGCTCTGTGGCTGGGTCTCCACCCTGCCCGCCCCTCGGGAGTCTGGGGCCTTCTAGGGACGGTTAGGGATTTCTGCCCTGTTCACGCAGCCCTGGAGACTTGTGGGCGGGAGCATCACTGCCCTCTGACACCCCGCATCCTGGTGCTGGCATGGCCCCACAACTCCGGGGGATGCAGGGTCCATGGGCCTGGGGAGGGGGGCCCCCAGGCTGCTTCCTGGAGGACGGTCAGGGGTAGCCTCTGCACTCAGACGAGGACGGGGGATGGAGGATGGGGTCACCTGGTGTCACCGTGACCTTCTCTGGGCCTGTCTCTGACCCAGCCTCTGTCCTCAGGGCATCCTGCTGAAGCGGAGCGGCAAGTCCCTGAACAAGGAGTGGAAGAAGAAGTACGTGACGCTCTGTGACAACGGGCTGCTCACCTACCACCCCAGCCTGCACGTGAGTCTGCGGGAGGCCTGGGCCGCCGGAAGAGCTGCAGACGCGGAGGGGCGGACCGTAGGATGAAGGGAAGCAGCCTTGACACGTTCAGACGGACTGGCCCTTCAGAAGGGCCCCCGCCGTGGTGGCCCGGGGACCGCCCAGACCGCAGGGCGCAGGCCCGGGCCGAGCGCGCACATCCCCGCAGAGCTCCGTGGTGGCTGAGTCCGTCGGCGAGAGCTCGGCCCCGGGAATGGCTGCCTCTAGGCCGGGCTGCCGCGCCGGTCACGTCCTCCAGCCCACGTGCTCTGTGTCTGCAGAGCTGGACTGGGCCCGTTTACGTGGAATTGTCAGAGTTCGGGGTGCCAGTGGTGGCCAACCAGTTGTTTTAGGGGGAGCCGCGGCGGGGGGGAATCCCTGGGTTCCTGGGCCTGAGGTGACAGAGAGCCAGAGGGCCGTTCAGCCAGGGCTGCCCGGAAGGGCACGGGTCCTCTTGGGAAGGGGAGCCTGGGGGTGGAGGTGTCTGGAGGGGGTGGGGTGTGGTGACGGCAGAGTGGCCCTTGTGGCAGCCCCCCCCCGCCCGCCGGTCCCTCCCCGCACTGCGTGGCTGCAGCGCACAGCTGTCACCAGAATCCATCTCTGTCACCGCCCCACTGTGGGGCTAATGAGTTCTCCTGCGCAGCCCCTCAAGCACAGCACGTGGGCCAGCCCGGGAGCCCGGGGCCTGCCTCCGAATCTGCACAAGGTGTCGGAGGCCCGACCTGGGAGGCGCTGGGGTCCACGGTGCCTGCCCTAACCGGGGCCCGAGAGCCCCGCCCGGTCAGCCCTGCCGAGAAGACGCACCGGGGCCTGGCTCGGGGGCAGCCGGCAGGCACCTGCTCCCCATCAGGACGGAGCCCAGCCTTGCTCTCTTGGGCTCCTCCCTGTCTGACTCCTCGGACGCTGGCCCTTTCCCCCTTAACTCGGGGGCCACCACTAGTTGGACTGTTTCCCCCTGCTGTCTCATTCTCCGCAGGGTGGGAGGTGGTACCAGGATACTGGGGGGGTGGGGGGCTGAGGAGGGTCCACACCCAGTGCCCTTGTGCATTTAGTCCAAAGGCTCCTCGGCCCTACTCCACCGGCCACCTCGTGCACAGACCTGGTCCTGCTGCTGAGTCAGTGTGGGGCAGCAAGGCACAGGTGTCTTAGGAAGTCCCGGGGCATCCTGCAGGTACGGAGCCTCTATACCAGAAAGACGGCAGAGCCACGGTGCTCCCAGCTGAGAGGGGCCGCCATGCCCATTTGTAGGCCAGCCTCGTGCCTCTGACCTCCTAGCTGTCCGTCCTGCCCCCCCGCCCATCCCCCTCTACCCCAGGCAAGATGCACTGGTTCTCCTCAGGCAGTGTCTTGCCAGTGGAGCCGGGGACGAGCCTGTCAGAAGCACCCCAGCTCCCCCCTGCCCCCGTGTTGGGGTGGCCTTGCCTTTCCCCCTTTGCTGCAGCCGTCCCCTTTCTTTCTGCTCTGTGCTGCTCGAGCTGTGCTGTGTCCCTTTTCCCTGTCCCCACGCCTCAGATGATGGAGGAAGCCCAGTATGGAGGAGAGGGACAGGAAGGGGGTCTCCGGATGTGGGGGACGGTGTCGGGTGGTTGTGTTTGGTTTGGGTTTGGGAAGAGAAGGTAAAGGCTTGAGCGAACGCTGCCTTGATGCTCAGCAATCTAGAGAGCCGAAGCGTGGTGGGTTGGTTGGATCATTAAAGTCGCCCAGCCGGTGGCTGAGCTAATACCTGCACCCATGACTTTGACTCGAAGCATGACACAGGTGGTTCTGCACCGTGCCCAGAGCACCTCTCTTCCGGACTAGCCGAGAAAGTGACTGGAGAGTTTACGTCCAGGCAAGTGTTGCCTAGACTGTTGTCAAGGAGGACGGAGGGAAGCGACGGGCCGCCCGCCTGGGCCGCTCTGAGTAGCTCAGACGCCCTTCCAGCTTGTTGAACCGAGTGCACTTGGGTGCGTTCAGGGGCCAGGGACAGGGTCTGGGTGCCAGGGGCTCAGCTTGCCACTGGCTGTCTGTGGCTCTGGCGTCAACAGGTAGGTCTTCCTGGCACGCGAGAAGCCGGGAGGCCCTGGCCCCCGAGGGGAGCAGCGGCCCTGCCCTGTGGATGCTTCTCTTCCCGTCGGGAGACACGGATCGGAAAGGTGTGGGAGGGTGAAAGGAGGAGCGAAGACCACGGCGGGGTCATCCCATGCTGCTGCGGGAGCAGGGTCGAGTCTACCGCCAGCCGAGGCTCTCCGCTCCGTCCGCCCCTCTCGCTTCTTGACATCCTCCCCTCCCTGCCGCCGCGCCCACTGTTGCTGCCTTCCCTGCCCTCTCTTTCCCAAGTGGCGCCCCCTCCCCCCGCCCGGCTTCCTGGGAGGTTCCCTCCCGCTGGGCAGCTGTGCCCCAGGAAGGGCCGTCGGGTCACCCCCGAGGTGCACACAGCACTCGCGGCTTCGCCCGCTGCCATCGCAGGGACAGCTCCTGCCCATGACCACAGGAAGGGCTGCCGGGCAGGCCTCAAGCCTTACCACCACCCCCCGCCCCGCCTGGCCCAAGAGAGCCCGCCCCAGCCTCCCCCATTTTGCAGCCAGCGGAGCCATTCACACAATCACCTTCTGTTAATTCTATCTGCAACATCAATTAAATTGTTTGTAGAAACTAATTGAATGTGGCTTAATCACACATCTTAATAGCTTTCCACGCTCTGAACTCGTTGTTAATTCCAGTAATAAAACGAGATGAGAACGCTGGCTGGGTAATTAGCGAGGAGGCTGGGGAAGAAATTGCCGTTTGATGGCGGATAATAAAGGCGGCCGTGGTGACCGCTCTCCTGAGCCGCCGCTGCCGCCGCGCTCCCCATTCTGCTGACGGAGGCAAACGCTGTCGCTGTGCCCCTGACGTCCCCGCTCCGTGCGCTCCGTCTGCCGGCCTGGTGCTGGAGCTGGCCTGGCCCAGGGCTCGGCGCCGAGCGCCCGGGGGGCTGGCCCGTCCGCTGTGGTCGGAGGTGCTCCCGGGGGGTGGGGGTGGGGGGCCAGGCCCCTCGCGTCGGTTTCTGGCTCCTCGGCCCTGAGCAGAGTCCCTCCGTGCGACTTGGGTTCTTGGTGTGAGGTCTGCGTCTCCATGTCCCAGCCCGGGCATCCCGGGGCCGTCACGCGGCCTGAAAACTGTTGCAGCTGCCGTGACCTCCTTGTGAACTAGAGCAGCCCGCGCCCCTCCCCCAGGAGAGGGACCGCAGCTGTGCCTTCGGCCCAGCCAGCTGTTGACAGTTGTCGGAACAGCCAATCCACGATGCGACCGTGTGCGGGGACCCGGGACGGGTGCACGCAGAAGCCGAGCCCGGGGGACCTCGGGCCCGGGACCGTGAGGCTGATGCTGGACGCTGGGCCCAAAACAAGACGGCAGGGCCGGCGGTGACTGGGTGGGGGGCTGAGTTTGCTGGAAGATGGACAGCCGGGGGGACGCGGCGGGGCTGAGCAGGAAAGGAGCTCCCGGGTTTCTTTTTTTCCTGGGCACCAGGGCGAGGCTTTGCTGAGCAGAGTGGGGGTGAGAGCTTGCCACGGGGGTCCTCCTGTGGGCGGAGACCGCTCCTCCTGACTTCTCGGATGTCGTTCTGTGGCTCTGAGACATGAAGCAGGGTGTGCCCGAGGCTGGGCACCTGGCACCTTTCCTCACGGTGGCGGCAGGTCGGTGTGTGTTGGGGGGGGCACAGACACAGCCCGGAGCAGCATGGAAGGGAGCGCCCCCTTGGGCGCAGGCTGCTGGGGGCTGCCCCTCCCCCGCTGTCCTTCGGAAGGGCCGCTCGGGGAGGAGAAGGCAGCTACGGGCCTGGCCGGGCCTCACTGCAGCTGGACGTGGCCGGTGAGGCCAGCGTGCTCACGTCCCCACGGGTCCCCTCTCCCCGATGACGCACCTCGGAAGTGAGTCTGGCACTGGGTGCTGCTTCCTTGTTCTCGCTCCTCTTCCTGACTGGAAACTTGCACGTTCTCGTGGCTGCTTGGGGCCGGGGAACCCCTTTCTACCTGATGTTCTCTTGGCCATTCCCAGAGTGAGGGCCAGCCCTAAACCCCCGGTCGGCCCCCGCCCTTTCCTTGCTTCCCAGATGGCAGCGTTCCCCACCGGCTCCCTCAAGCGGGGGACACTGGCCCTTTTCCCTGAAGCTGAGGGTGAGAAGGTAGGAGAGCTGCTGGGTGACAAGAAGTCGGATGTCCTGAAGCGGGTGAAGGCACGAGGCCTGGGGGCTAGACGGTGGGGACCGTGTCTCGGGGAAGCGCTCTGACGGCTGCTCCTGAGGGGAGGAGAAGAGCAGGTCGGAGTCTACTCCGGGGAACTCCAGAGTTCAGCTGGCACCCCCCCACCCGGATTCTGCTCTCTGGAAGGAGCTGTGGCCACCTTTTATCAGGGACGTTAGCTCGGAACTGCTGAGGAACTTGCCGGCGGTAGAAGCGAGGAAATGGGAGGCAGCCGTCGGGAAGGAGACAGCAGAAGCAGTGGGGAGAGCTCGGGCCCTGGCTAGGCTCGGGGTTAAAGCAGGAAGCTAAAGGGCCGCAGCTGGGCTCTGCTCTGTGGCCCCCACGTTGCCGCTCCACCGTGGGACTCCCAGGCCAATGTCAAGATGGCAGGAGTGGGGTGGGGGGGGCAAGGCACTGAGTGGCTCCCACTCCCTGGGGCCCTCCGGGTGCTGACCTGAGATAGGCGTGAGTGCCTGGGCCCGGGACGTCTGCCGTCAGTGCGCAGCCCTGGGAATCCACAGAGCCTGGGCTCGAGTCTGGTTCTACCACCGTCCGATGGTGTGACCTTGGGCAGATTAACCTTTGTAAGCCTCGGTTCCTTCAACTGCAAAGCGGCCCTGGTGCCGTGAGCGATGATCTGCAGCTGTGGGGCATGAGTGCCTGGCCCCGTTGGATGGGCAGGTGCTGTGGTGGCATGATGACAATGGTCATTGTTCCTTTGCTCGTCAGGTGCCCCCTAGTATCTGTGGAACCATGGACCAGTATCCATACTCTTAAGGCTTCTTTTTAACTGTTTAACGTATTTATCATCAGGCACTGTTGTCAGGATCGAGGACTGTTCTAGGCTTTAAGGGTTCCCCGTGCCGCAGTGGTGGTGAGAGCTTCTGAAACCAGGGCTGAAGCCCTCGGTGACGCACCACCCAGAGCTTGGCGCGGCCCAGCCGTCTGCGTCCTTCGGACTTTGTCAGTTCCTCTCCTGGCCACGCAGGCCTGCTCTTCCCGAATCCAACTTTGGTCCTGTACTTGGCCTTGTTCGCGTTGCCCCCTGAGCTCTTTCCTAAAGGAGGCCTGCGCCTCAGCTCTGGGCTCCTTCTCTCTCCCCTTCTCTCTCCCCTGCTCCTGCCCCCTGCTGACTGCGTCCCCCCAGAGCTGCATTTGGTCCCCAGTAGATTGGGTGTCACCCACGTCTGGTGGGTGGGTGGGAAGCCTGGGGGCTTCACTGTCCTGCTTTTCAGAACTTGAGCTTTCCCTCCTTCCTTTCTTGCGGCACAGCGGGGAGAGACGTACGAGTTGGCGGGTCAGTGCCAGAGACAAAGTGCGGCCGAAGAGGGATCTGCCCTAACGCATGTTTGTCTGTTTTGTCCCCATGGCCCTTAGGATTACATGCAGAACATCCACGGCAAGGAGATTGACCTGCTGCGGACCACAGTGAAGGTGCCAGGAAAGCGCCTGCCCCGCGCCACCCCTGCCACAGCCCCAGGCACCAGCCCCCGCGCCAACGGACTGGCCCTGGAACGGAGTAACACACAGCTGGGTGGGGGCGCAGGTGAGGTGGCTGGTGGCGGTAGGGGTGGGGGGGTGTGCCTTTCTCCGCGGGATCGGGGAGTGCGGCTATGGGGCTTCACTCTTCCCCAGCCTGGGTCCTCAGGGCTCCAGACGTGCTTGCCACGCAGAGTCCTGCTCAGCTAAGTGCGTTTGCCCAAGTGCTGCCCTCTTGGGAGCTGGTAGAGGGAGTGGCGGGTGATTTGGAGATCAGGATGGGGCCAGACAGCCTGGAGCTGACGGGTGCTAGCAGCGGTCCTGGGACCGTTTCTCCTCAGCTGGAGCCAACCAAGGCAGGTGGTGGTGAGAACAGGATCTCTAGCGCACGTAGCCAGCGTCTCAGCCAAGCACGCCGCGGGGGCGGGATGGAGGGGGCAGCTGGAAGGGGACGCGGCTCCCTGGAGTTCACCCGGCGAACGCCCTTGGGTCTGCAGTGAGAGGTAGGGTCCTTGCTCAGAGAGGACTGAGCTTAGAGAGAAGCCGGAAGCCAAGCAGACTCTGCCACAAGTCTGGCGGTGTGGGAAGAAGAGCTAGAGGCTGAGAGAGTCTGAACTTGAGGCGTGGCAGCTTCTCCTTGACCAGTGCTCACCTTTCCGGATGACACTGAGAGTTCAGGTGAATGATGCTTACGTTTCTTTCTGTCCCCGGCTCTGTCTGCCTCCCTAGGCCTCTGTGGCCACAGTGTGGCTCCCAAGCCACACTGCTGTCCCTCCCAAGTCCCCGTGCCCCAGATCTGCCTTGGCTTCTGGACCCTCATTCCCAAGACTTCACTCTCCCTGATGCTGTCCTAGATGATTGGATCTCCTTTTCCTTGGACCCAGAAATAGCTGCTTAAGATGCTGTCCTGCCCTCCTAGGGGCTGCCAGTGTGTCCCTGCCCCAGGGGGTGCTCTGCTTATTCACAGTCATAGGCTGATGCAGATTCAGGGGGCTGGATACGAAGTCCCTGGAATGGAGGGAACAGACCCCAAAGAGTTGCCCCCTCAAAATGCTAATGACCTACATTGAGCAGCTCCGGGTCCAGAGAAGGCGGCCAGACGATGGCCTCCTGAGTGTGCTCCTTGTTGGAGGCACACGAGCACTCTGCACCCCGGCCCTGTGGCCCGTGTGCAACCCCCGCTGACCAGTCTGGGGGCACGGGGAGGGGCTGTCGTCTGCTGATTGAGATGTGCGCCAGATGCAGTAGATCTACTCTAGGTCAGGCCCGTTTTGCGGCTCCGTGAAGTTGAGGTTATCCCCATTTGATGGACGAGGAAACAAAGGCTCAGCGAGATTCAGTAACTTGTCTGTAAAATTCCACAGTAAGTGGTAGAGCTGGGATTTGAACCTGAGTGTGCCTGACTTGAAAAGCCACCCCGAGCTCAGAGAGAAGCCCCGAATTGTGCAGAGGGAGAGCTCCAGTGGACTAAGGCAGGAAGCTAAGGAGCAAGGCACCCAGCCGGGGCCGGTGGGGGCGGGGGGGGGCGGGGGGAGGCGCGGTGCCGAAAGCCTCCTGTGGGGGTGCACTGGGGGAGGGGTCGAATGGCAAAAAACGGCAGGCCCCGGGCTGCCCTTGACACTCTGCGCAGAGAGCTAGGTCAGGGCTGCTGGGAAATCACCGGCGAGCAGGGGCAGGGGGGCCGGGCATCAGCCGGGGGCCCTGAGCTCTCCTGGAGCTGCGTGCACAGTGAGAGGCGGCCTCTGATCTGGCACGGGGTTCCTCGGATCCTACAGGGGAGGAGAAAGTATCAGTACTCTGAAAGGTGCAGGGGAGCCTTTCCTTGAAGTCAGGTAGCAGGACGGGGCTCATTCCCCAAAGGGAGAGAAGCCGTGAGACACTCCGTCCTGTCACAGTCCCGGGCCCTCCTAGCCGTCCCCTGGCGGGCGGAGGGGCACTCACCCCCGGACACCCGCTGGCATCACCAGAGCACACGGACGGGCGTTTACCCAAGCCCGTGTCCCCTCCGCCGCACGCTGACACCGACCTCATGCACACTCACACATGTCTCCCGCTCACCGGGCGATGTTAACATCTCATTATCTTTGTTACTGTAATTACATTATCCGCTGCTTTATGCAGAATTATCCTCCGAGGACTAATTGATGGCTCCATGTTTAATTCATTAATCATTAGCATCAAATTCGACAATTACAGTGCACACTGATTGTGGGATTGCAGGCGTAATGAGGGGAGAATTAACAAAGAAAAGGGAAAGCACTTTCCCTCCCTCGGGGTTTTGAGTTGGGGGGCTTGGGGAGGAAGTGGGGCCCGTGATGGCTTTGGGTGGGGCTCGGGATGAGGCAGGGATGAGATTTGGAACCCAGGAGGGGATGGAGGCAGGACACGGGCGGGGAGAAGCAAGGTCTCTGAGAATTTTGGAACTGCGTCTGCCGCTCTGCAAGGTCTCCTGCCAGGGAGCCAAGGGCCCCCCCCCCCCCCCCGAAGGCGAAGCTGGCAGGGACCCGCTAGGCCGAGTGCGAGGGGGCGGGGTTCTGGAGAGGAAGTGCCCGCGCCTTGCCTGGAGGGGGCTGGAGGTGGGACGGACTGGAGGCAGGGTCGGCACCACCGTAGACCCCGTAAGCACTCACTGTGTGTCTGGTCCTGACGTGGGTGTTACGAGGAATACAAGAGAAACACAAAACTTGCCTTCCACCTTTTGGCATCGTACTGTCCCCAGGGCGTCAGGGATGTCTGGCTTGCTTCTTTACCTTCTAGTGGCTTCCGCCCAGACCTTCCCTCCTTAGGCTTCCAGAAACCCCACCCATGTCCTCCGAGGACTGGTTTGAGGCTGAGTTTGCCCCCTGCTCTCTCCCACTCCTTCCCTGTCTCTGCCCCCTTCCTACCCCCCAGCACCTGGCCCGCTCTCCCGCCTGGCGCTCAGGCACCTCGCGCCTGGCCCCGCCTGTCCTCAGACGCCCCACCAGCACTGCCTTCCAGCCTCGGTCCCCGTCCTCCCGTGGGCGGAGGTGAGAGGGCACTGGAGGCCCTTCAGTTGTCCCCTGGGCACTCTGCAAGGGCCTGGGTGCTCAGGGAGGGAGCAGGACAGCTCGGAGGGCACAGGCAGCCCAGCCTGCCCGGGCCTTGGCGCTCCTGGAGCCTTTGGTTCCCCTTGGCTCTGCCATTCTTCCCTGATGGGAAACGAAGATTAATTTTTCCAGCCCAACAGGATAATTACTAATACTAATTAGACATAATTACTTGAATCTGATACACTTACTTCTCGTCAGAATGGCACCAAAGCTGAGGCAAAGCAAATGGCATATGTGGACTAGAACGTGGGGTGCAGGGGCCTGATCCAGAGGGGAAGGGGGCTGGGGATGTTGGCTAGACAAGGAGCACTGCGGTGAGGGGGTGTCAGTACCACATGCCCCCCTCTTCCGGCTCACAGGAAGGGGACTGAGATGCAGAGGGGGGTGAAGTGTGAGACCAGCTGCCTCCTGAGGTGTCGCGGGGGGGGGCCCCCACTCGAGGCCTCTCCGTCTCCAAGACGCCTGGCCCAGTACCTGGTAAATCCAGTTTTGGTCAGTATTCTGCTAGAATTTCTCAAGTTCTGCCTGTAGCGTTATTTTCAGGAAAGTCTGTGTACCCCTCCCCAGCCTCCCTTCCCAGTCTGACCCTTCCCCCCACCCCCAGGTGCCCCCTACTCGGCCAGCAACTCGGCCTGGGCTGGCTCTCGCCCCGAGGGGCTGCACCAGCGCTCCTGCTCTGTTTCCAGCGCCGACCAGTGGAGTGATGCCCTGCCCCCAGGTACGCAGGACCCTGTTAAGCGACACAGAGGAGGGCAGCCAGCGAGCGTCTGCGTCTGCAGCCGGGGAGGCTGTGTTGGGATGGAGCCCAGGCCCAGGGGAGGGGCCCAGCAGAGCCTGCCAAGGCTTGTCGCAGCGTGCTGCAGGGCCAGTGCGGGGGTCTGAGAGATGGAGTCGGGCCTCTGTCCCTTCTCCGACAGCCGAAGGCGGCTTCCTGCCCCTCTGCCCCTTTGCTGTCCCCAGGCCCTGCTAGGGGCTGGCTGGTGCCGGAGACCTTCCCTCTGCTGCGTCTCTGCCCACCCACTGCTGTCCCCAGGCAGTGCTGGTGGCGGCTCCCGCATCCCCATCAGCCCCCTGCGCAGCCAGCTCATCAGCCTCACCGCGGGGGGGACAGGGAAGCGGCTGAGTAGGGAGGTCGGAGGCTGGGGGCTTTAAACACGTTTTGAAGGCAGCAACTTGCCTGCCACGGAGAGGGGGGTTCCTAGAGATAGGATCCGGGATCCAGAAAGGTAGTTTTCCCACCCGTGCCGCCTCCGGTGGGCTGAGGCCCCATCCTGTCTAGCTGGTCAAAAATTCTGCCTCCTCTCTGTGCCATTCCCGCCCTCCCAACTGTCCTTGGCTCGTCTTCGTTTTCTTCCTCTTTCGTCCATTTTTGTGCCTTGCCCTCACATCTCAACTCCTCCTTCGCGCACACACGCACACACACACACTCACGCACGCGTGCGCACGCACACACGCTGCCCCCCCCCTTTCTTCCCCCGGCTTACTCCCACCCATCTCCTTTGGCCCCAGACCCCCTCAGCCATTCTGCAGGCTGAAAGGGAAATGGGCACAGCGCTGCCCTCCTTTTCTAGGTCAGGGTGCGCCCTGTCCCCTCCGAAGCCGGACTCCTCCCGCTTGTGCTCCAGCTGGGCAGAGTGCCTGGCCCAAGGCCCACGAACTCTCTTCCTGGATGTGCCCCCCCAAAAGTCTTCACAGGCCCCCACCCCCCTAGAAGCACTAACCCCCAGTCTGAGCTCTGACTGCAGGAAGGAGCTGGGTGCCCTCAGCACAGGCATCTCCCCACCTCCTGATCCAGGTCCGAGCCTGCCTTTCGGGGGAGTGACTGGCGGGCTTGAGAAGGGGAGCTGAGGGCGCTTCCCAGAGTCCCTGTCCTGACGGCCTGTGCTGGCCTCCACAGGCCTCGCTGGGGCCCCTCTGTTGAGTCTGGAAGGAGGAAGGCAGGGGAGGGAGGGAGCGTGTCTGCCTCTAATGAAGTTTGACATTTAGTGGTGAGCGCCGGGCGGGGTGTGGGAGACGGGAGCTTGATTAGCGCGCTCTAATTGACAGTAATTAGGCAGCTCCCTGATTGTTTCTAATTCTGCTATTAATTGTGAGGAGCGGGGAGTGTGATTGAGGATAAATTTGGTGCGGAGCTGCTGGGGCTTCAGCTCCCTGTGAGTTCCCTGGGCCGCCTTCCACCCCTCCGGGCTGCCGAAGCCCTCGCCAGTGATCCCTCCTGGCCTTCTTCCTGCTCTGCCTGAGTTCCCTACACTCTCCTCTCTCCACCTTCTCCTTCAAGGCTGGGGAGGCTTTGGGATTGGGACTGGCTGGGCAGACCCCTCCCTGGGCTCTCCCAGGGTAGCCCAGCTGCCGTTCAGGGTGGAGCTCCCCGTGACACTAGGCGACAGGAGGCAGGTTGAGGCAGCTCGTGTGCTCTGCCCCCACCCCCCACCGCCCCCTCTTCCCACACTTCTCCGCCTCTCCCCTCACCAGCCAGTGGCCCAGCTGAGGTGCTCAGTTCCAGCCCCAAGCTGGAGCCTCCCCCATCTCCCCACTCCAACCGGAAGAAGCACCGGCGGAAAAAGAGCACCGGGACCCCCCGACCAGACGGCCCCAGCAGTGCTGCTGAAGGTTAGGGGGACCTACAGGGAAACTGGGGCACAGGAGGCGGGCTGTGGGATTCGGGGCTAGTACTCGAAAAGTAACACCATTTTCCGTTTTAAGAGTAAGTGCTTTGTGGTGATTAGCAATAACCATAGTTCCACAACTTCTTTGGGTAATCTAGACCTAGTATCTTAGAAAAGCTCTTCCTTCTGCCTAATTTAAACCCTTTCTACTAAAATGTGAGCCTTTCTTTTATTCCTTATGGAAGGTAAAAGACAGCAGGTGGCTACTCCAGTAGCTCTTCCAAGACTTGTGGGCAGGACCTATGTTTTCTGTGTCTCTTGTATCACCCATTGAGCTTAATGAGTGCTGGGCATATAATAGGTGCTTAATACGTGTGTAGGAACTGGTTAAGTCTCTCCTGACTCGTCTTTAGGCTAAGGAATTCCAGCTCCTCAAACATTTTTCGGTGGGGCCTGTCTCATAATCTAGTGTTAATCACAGCACTCCTCTGGTTTTCCCCAAAGTGTCTTCAAATGGTTCCTCTTCTCAGTGGTTGGAACCCCTTCGCTCCCAAATAACGTTAACCTGTACCGATGCACAGTGTCTCACGTCTGCTCCGATTGCCAGGGGTAGGGCTGTGGGCAGGAGGGTGGAGGTCGCCTCTGCGGGGAAGAGTTACCTTTCCCAGCCTACCTGTGGTGTGGTGGGGTTTGGCATTCCTGGCATGGAGTCACCTGTACCAGGGAACTGCGCGCCCCCCCCCCCCCCCCCCGGCCACAGGATGGCGACTCTGTGGTTCAGGGGCTGTGTTGAAAGCAAGGTGAGGTGGGATGGTGGAGCCTGGGGAAGGAAGGGACACCAGCATTCTTCCTCGAGGAAGAAGTCCCTGTTAGGGGTGCCCTTAGAGTAGGAGCCCGGCAGGAAGACTTCCAGGGAATGTCACTAAGGTGAGAGGCTGCCCTGGGCAGGGACTCGGGCCTTGGCCTCCAGCTCAGCGTTGCGCCTACCCCCAGGTCCCCGAGTTCTCCCCGCGCCCCCGTGACACATGCACGCTGCTTGTTAGGGATTGTTCACCCACAGGGTGGCGACCATTGGCAGTGAGATGCGGGTGGCTGTCTTCTGTCGGCCTAAGGGGAGCAGAGCTTGGACCAGCTTCACCACATGGCTTGGGGTCACAGTCCGGCCCACAGTGCCTGGCGCTGGAGCTCTCCTCGGGGGCCCGTCTGCTCACACATCCCAGTTTGTGGGGAAAGCCTCTCCTCCTCTCCCCATCCACTCATCCTCCCTGCCTACCCAGGGTAGTGGGGGAGGGGCCCGGCTCCCCGGAGCCCCACGCGGACGCCGTCAGGAATATTGGGTGTAATGAGCTGCAAAATGAGGCGGCTGCAGCTGACATGTACGGATGGTGCCCACACCCGCCCTCCCCCACCCTCTCCAGCATTGCCTCCTAGCGCCCCATTGCATCCTTCTCCAGACACGCCGCTCGTTTCTCCGGGAAGCACCCCACTCTGAATTCCAGACCCATCCCTGGCCGTGCCAGGGAGGCGAAAACCTGGCACCCCGCCTCTCTTCACCCAGGCCCCACAGGTGGTTAGGAACAGAGGGGGCGAGCGCTCCTCCGCACGACTCCCAGTTGCCCCAGGACCATGGCCTTTGAGGCCGGGGATGGGGGGCCGAGGACACTGGCCGGGCCCGCCGGCGGCGCGCAGAGTTGTGGCAGGGGCGTGTCCCTGGCTGTGTGCGCGGCGGGGCGCCCTGCCCTGCCGGTGGGTAAGCACCCCGGTCTCCCACAGACGCAGAGGAGTCGTTTGAGTTTGTGGTGGTGTCCCTCACTGGGCAGACGTGGCACTTCGAGGCCTCAACGGCAGAGGAGCGGGAACTGTGGGTCCAGAGCGTGCAGGCCCAGATCCTCGCCAGCCTGCAGGGCTGCCGCAGCGCCAAGGACAAGGTTGGCACGGGGGCCCCCCTGGGGTGGGACCCGAGGTGGCCTCGAGACTGACCGGCCGCCCCTTGTCTCGCCCATGGCACAGACTCGACTGGGGAACCAGAACGCGGCTCTGGCCGTGCAGGCCGTCCGCACCGTTCGCGGCAACAGCTTCTGTATCGACTGCGATGCCCCCAGTGAGTGCGGGGGCCGGCGGGGCTGGGCTCGGGCGGCTTAGGGAGAGCTCGACGAGAGGCTTGCGGTTGGCCCTGAGGAGGACGGAGGGGAGAGGCCTTCCCTGGTGGTCTCCCTCTGGTCGCCCGTGGACCTCACTCCCGATGCTTCCTCTCCTCACCTAGATCCAGACTGGGCCAGCTTGAACCTGGGCGCCCTGATGTGTATTGAGTGCTCAGGGACCCACCGACATCTGGGGGCTCACCTGTCCCGGGTCCGCTCCCTGGACCTCGATGACTGGCCACCTGAGCTGCTGGCTGTCATGACTGCGATGGGCAATGCCCTGGCCAACAGCGTCTGGGAGGGCGCCCTGGATGGCTATGCCAAGCCCGGGCCTGACGCCTGCAGGTGGGTGGACGGGTCGGGGTTGGGGTTGGGGGGGGGGGGCCTGAAGCTGGCCAGAGAGGGAGGGGGCGTGGCTGCTCTGGTATGGAGGGGAGAGGGGCGGGCCACAGCTGCGCGCTCTCAAGGGTTAAAAGTGGCCGTTGCTCTGCTTGGCAGTTGGCCCCTTGGGGTGCCCCTCCCCCTCCCTGCCTGTCACTCAGCCTCCTCACAACAAGAGGCCCTTTCTGAGCCTTATCAGCAGGTCAGGGGCCAGCAGGAGGCGCATGCGCCGGGCCCTATCACTCAGGGGCGTGAAGGCCCTCGCGAAGGCCCTCGCCCCGAGCTCGGAGATGGGGAGAATGGGCGGGAGATAGGATAGTGCACGGGCCCCTGGTGGAGGCCCCCCACCGCCTTTGTTGCAGCAGGGCCAGATAAGCTACCGCAGGGCCCTGCCGGGAAGCGTGCTGCCCTCTCAGCCCCTGCGTCCCTGCCGCCCCCCAGGGGCCTCCCCCTTCAGCGTTCCTTCCTTTTCAGCTTCGTCCACCCCCTTTGCATTCCCCGCTGTACGCTGTCCATTTCTTAGGCTCGTCTCTTCATTGCTCCGTCCTACACTTTCTCTGTTTCTCCCTCTTCCCCTTCGGGGTGTGCGTGTCATTCCCTGACCCCCCTCCCCGGGCCCCGCCCGTTGGCTCGGGCCCTTCCTTGGCTCATGCCTTGATGGACCTGTGCTTGCAGAGAGGAGAAGGAGCGCTGGATCCGGGCCAAGTACGAACAGAAGCTCTTCCTGGCCCCGCTGCCGAGCTCGGACGTGCCGCTGGGCCAGCAGCTGCTCCGGGCCGTGGTGGAGGACGACCTGCGGCTGCTCGTGATGCTTCTGGCGCACGGGTCCAAGGAGGAGGTGAACGAGACCTACGGGGATGGGGACGGGCGGACGGCTCTCCATCTCTCCAGCGCCATGGCCAATGTCGTCTTCACACAACTGCTCATCTGGGTGAGTTGTGGGCTCCCTCCCGGCCTTGCCAGTCCCACCCTCGAGGGCCCCGCTGA